CATCACCTTAGACGAAATAGGGTGAATACATCTCATTACACCGATTTACTGGTAGTCTCGAAACCCTACTATCATAAAATATGGTTTCACTCAGGCTTAATGGTCGCCCTCAATCGGTGTCGGCCGATGTGTGGGAATAGAGAGGTACGAATCTCCGGTACTTTGTAGACACAGACCGACTCTCAATGGTTGAAGAATAAATCTACCAAAAACGTCTAATTTGGTTGGTCTCCTTTCAAGGCATGGTTGAAATGATTTTATTTGTAAAACTCGGTTGTGTTTACAAGGAAAATTCTAGAGGCACATCTCCTACTGCATACCCTAAAATTGTCGCCACGTATCTCTCCTGCAATGGACTGGGGGCCAGATATATTTTCTCTCAGTGTTCTGGCATTCTAGTGCCTTTCTTGGCACCTACTCATTAACTGATACTACAATGCTGGAAGGCAACACAGTGTGAAGAGTTGCTCCAAGGTTTCCCCATAAAAACTACCAAGTTGAGGAAAATAGGCAAATACAACCAGTTTTTATGAATGTATGAAGGAATAATGAAGCCTACCTATAGGAATGATTCAGCTATAGTGGATAACATAGGTCTACTTTCTTTGATTTGCCCACCACAAATGTAAATTAGTCTCAAAAGTGATGTTTACGTTTCATGAAGCAAGAACTTATGCCATCCTCTGAAAAAGTAGGCGAATGCGAACTTATGAGAGGCAGGGAGCGAGTGAGAATTAAATCACATTTTCTGAGGTGAATCCGTTAATCCAGCTGCCAGTGTCCATGTAAGGATACAATATTGATAAAGAATAGCAAGCTTAAGGTTATAAGAAAAATTCAGGGATTGTGGCCAGTAGACCACCTCATAAGAGCCGCAAAAGAAAGGACCTCTCAAAAGGTGTTAGTGATACAAGATCACGCGGCTATTTAATAATATACCAAAGATGTTAAACAAGGCCTCGAAACTCGAATACAATATATGCATATAGTATGCATCTGAAAGATACTGACATGTTGGTGCAGGTGATATAACTCCAGAAACGCTTGTGCCGAAATCCAAGGGTACAGAATTGCTTTGGAGTTGTCCGTCTGCCAGCCGGCTTTCCAGAGAGTCAGGAAATTTCAGAGAGGAGTTCACTTCACTGTTAGCCTTCCACGGAGCAAAGACAAGCTGAGGAAGGCAAATATTGACGGGGATGCTGGACGAGGAAAATGCTGACGAAGAAGACGCTTCATTAGAGTTGTCAAAGAGAATTAGTGGAATATCGATTGAGGGTGCACAACAATGACACAAAGCGTCAACATGAGGGGTGAAGGGAGAGCAGATAGAAGAGGAACTGTCAGATTGACAACAAAGATGGCGGCAGGCAGACAGCAATCGGCTATGGATGGCTCGATGGAGAGAGAGCAGGTGACGAGGTGCCCTGAGAATGAGAAAAATTAGAGTAAATGGGAGAATAAAGAAGTTCGGCTGTCAAAACACACATCAAGTGTTGAAAAATAAGGTACCTTAAGTGAATCTCGCCAATCTTAGCAGCACACAACAACTCGCCAAAGAGACAAGTGAAGCCGATCCTTTGACCAAACGTGTGCTAAACACTTGTGGTATCTCCCCTTCTGCTCTCCCGGGCTATTCACATATACAATCTCCTCCAATCACACCTTCACTGTCACAATTTGTACCGCGCTTATTTCGATGTCGTGTGGTGTGCTCTTTTGAGCGGCATTCATAAAAACCCTTCACACTCCACACTGACGTTCTCACCCCTTCACCCTTGTGTTAGGAATGTTGATCAGAGTCTGCCATATTGTTAGGCAGTCCTCCTTCCCTAGGTCTTATCACAGTCTCTCTCTTGCCTCGTAGGATCCGTCTGCTCTCTCACTGGTTCACATATTTCAGTGAGGGGGGTGGCAGGGGTCGAGTGAAATACGTAAACCAGGGAGATAGCAGACGGATCTTACGAGGAAAGAGAGAGACTATGATAAAACCTAGGGAAGGAGGACTGCATAACAATATGGTAGACTCTGATCCACATTCCCAGCGCAACAGTGAAGGGGTGAGAACGTCAGTGTGAAGTGTGAAGGGTTTTCAAGAATGCCGCTCAAAGGAGCACACCACACTACATCGAAATAGGCACGGTACAAATTGTGACAGTGAAGGTGTGATAGGAAGATATAGGAAATGTGAATAACCCAATGCAGAAGAGGAGATACCACAACTGTTTGGTCAAAGGATCGGCTTCACTTGTGTCTTTGTCGAATTGTTGTGTGGTGCTAAGAATGGCAAGACTCACTTACGATGCCGGCGAAACGTCTGGGAATGTACCACGTCCACGGTCCGACTTTGGAAATGTTGATGCATACAATTGACTCCGGACTAGGTGTGTTCCTCTAAGTCTTCCTGCCAACATGACCAAGTTGCGAAAACAAGGTCAAACCACCTCCATGCAGCGAAAGGAGACTGCGACCACACAAAAGGCAACACCCTCGTGACCTTCATACCTTCGATTTTAAAAAAATAAGCTAGTCCACTGAAATAATGTTATGAAGTTCAAGGAAATTAGTTCAATGCTTTGAATCTGACAGAAACAATTTGGACATATTTTTCGTTTATAAGTGGACTTTCGAGACTACTAGTAGATCATATGTAGAAGATAAATTCATCCTATTTCGTTCATAGTGCTAAGGAGACTGGTGGTTGGATTGTCCCAAGATGATATTAGTATTCG